CTGCATCAACAACAAAATTCGGATTTTCAATACAAACGTCAAGTCAGTCAGTTCTTCTATACGGATGGATCAGAAACTTGGCCAGTGTGTCACAAAGAATATTTCCAACAGCCTGTTGCAGACCTTTATCAACAGCTGTCTTCGTTCTATACTGAAGATCAGATGGCCGGAAAGAATCACCAACAAGAAACTATGGGAACAAACAAAACAAGAACCAATCGCCCAACAAATATGCAGGAGAAAGTGGAGATGGATTGGACACTCACTGGCTGAGGAGGCCACTCGCTGGGTGACATCGCGCGTCAGGCCAACGCTCGAGTGGAACCCGAAAGGGAAGCGGCGAGTGGTTCGTCGGTGCAAGGGTGACATGGAGGAGATCGTGTGAAGAGGAGCTGAAACAGTATGGACTAACATGGATGCAAGTGAAAAGCACAGCAGAAAACAGAAACAAGTGGAGGCGTGCAGTTGAAGCCCTATGTTCCACTAGGAACCCAAGGGAACAATAATAATAATAGCTTTATTCTGCACAATAAGTTTACACAATATGCACAATTTTCAGCGTAGTTTATTGCATAATATTTTCTCTTCATCCAGAAGTTTTTCTAGTAAAACAGCCATCTCCAGTACATCATGTGATGCAATGAATGCTGTTCGATCTGAAGAATTAAATAATCTTTTATGGTGAGTGACGGTAGGGTGCAAATCAATTTAAAAATGTGCATGAGTGCATTTGGCAACTTACGGACATAATTGAATGATTATGCCAACAAGAATTAAAGAAAATAAAATGCATTGTATTGATTGGAAATTCAAGTAGCCCAGTGACTCAAGCAGGTCGCCAAGAGAGTACGTCGGTGGCACAGCGATTAGGACTTTCGCCCACCATCCACATGATCCGGGGTTCAATCCCCTTCCGACGCACACCTGATATTAATGGTCGGCCTGCGAAATATGGGCTACCGATATCACACGCTGAAAATTCCATACTTGTACCAAAAATACGATGTGGAATCAAGCTATTATCAAAAAATCATAATAATTAGTGGAAGTTAGCAACAGACTGTTTGTCAGCGAGAAATTTAATTTTTGAGGTACAAGAGGGATGCATATCTACTAGTGTAACTGTTTCTGTGGGGTTAGTTACTTTAAGCGTACGATTAAGCAAATTCATCATCGAATTTCTGAACACTACCCATCTTGGTTAGTCGAAGGATCGAATAAAGCTATACACAGCTCAATACTAGCTCTTCTCATCTGCACAGGACATCAGATTGATATTGGAAAAAAACTCTTAAAGTTATTTATCGTATTTCATCCAACCTTTCGCATGCTCTACAAGTAAGACTTCTACATATAACAGAGGCAATCACAATTCATTTAAAAAAGCCACATCTGTGTGTTCAAACGAAATTTGTACAGTCAATTTCTATGCCGTAACCGTCTACATGGCAACAGTACAGAGTAGACAGCAACTTCAGATAACCTTGATACAGCCAATTAGATTCTCCCAGGTGAAAAGTGGTACTTAATTTATAAAAAGAAAATGTGTACCTATGATAAATATGTAATAAAAATGAATCATACAGGGTATAAAATGATATCATTCTACTTCACAGGTTCTCATCAGCTGCAAACTACCTGAAATTACAATGGTTATAAATAATAATATTTCATACTTCAATGTTTGAAAGGTAATAGTGAAAACGTTATAAGATGAACACATCTGAAATATAAGTATTACAGTTTTTATTGTTATTATTTATAACCATTGTAATTCCAGGTAGTCTGCAGTTGATGAGAACCTATGAAATAGAATGATATCATTTTATACTGCAAATCTGGTCTTTCTTTCTCTATCGAAATTAATCAAGGGAACCAAATGTATGAAATCATACACAGGGCATATATCTCTAAAATGCTGCGAAAACTCGCCACAGTTTCTCATAGAAGTGGTTGTAGACATATCAAACCAATGTATTCTCTATTTCTCCAGCTGTAGCAGATACTGGTTGCATATATGCAATATGTTACTAAGGGGAGAGCTTTGATTTCGAGAAGAAAGTGTCTAAAAAATCACCAATTATGTACGACTTACCAACTTATACAGACTTCCTTATATAAAATGGTCGCATTTGAATGTGTAACCATCAATAGCCCAGCAATACTTTTTCAGAGTCATTATCGCCCCCCCACACGTGCTTGTTTTAATCCTCCGTATCAACCCATTTTCCACAGAAAAGTCGAAAACCACATCTAGGAGACACTTTCAACGAGGATTATGACTAGCATCTATTTGTAATGCTGAGCTGTCCGACTGGTCGAATCAAGGTCACTTGACTTTGGTGTCTATTGTTTACTCTTGCCGTCTACATAATATTTACAAACTCTTGCAAATCACTTTCCCCTATTCCTTGTAATTATTATTTGGTTCTGTTACTTTATTGTGATTGCTATTCCGGCTAATTCAATTGACTTATTTGTCTCTTAAAATCCTCATGTTGTTTTTTGTTTTCTTTTATTCCTTTATGTCCGTAGTAGAATATAGGGCTTCAAGCTAGAGGCTTGAAGTTTCGGTAGCAGTGGTGTTTACTTCCTACGGCGTGGGGTTGCTAGCCTCATGACCAACCTTCCTTCTTTACCAGTCTTGTTGCTGGCTTAGCGAGGTATGAGAGTGTGTCGGCCGGAGATCGAACCCCAGACTACATGTGTGGTTGGCGAGCATTCTACCGCTGTGCCTCTGACGCAAAATCCTCGTGTAATTCTTTAACATATTCTTCTTTCTCTGCTTCAAATCACTGAAAATACTCATTGAGTCTTGAAGAAAAATAAAAGACAAATTCAGCGAAGAAAATTTTCTTTATCCACGAAATCATCTTCAGAGGCTGTACAGTCGTATTTATACTTACAAAAATATATAGTGGTCTATTATTGAGTAATAGGGGAGGTGACATAATCGATATAATTACTCAGAAGTGACTTTGACAGTTGTAAATTACGTGGTACTAGCTCAATTCTCGAGCATTTAGTGAACTCAGGCCACGTAGCTCCACCAGAATCGTCTTTCAAGATCATCTACAAAGTGAAGCCAAATGGTACAAAGGGCGTCAGGTTTCGGCTTTTGTGTATGGTGGAGGCTCTGGCAATTCATCAATACAACCCTGAACTCTGTATACAGAAAAAGTTTTTGATGTGGTTGTGTTCTCTGCGCTGGATAGTTAATTTGCGGAGCTTTCGTCGCCCTACTAGGCGACGTCTTCAGCGCATACTTCAAATCTTCTCTATCATACAGAAAAAGTTTGTCCAGTCTCTTATTCTACCTTGGCCTTAACCTCTTCACTAGTCGTTCCCTGTTAAAAGAAAATTTATTTTCTTTTCTTTCCTTTTTTAATTTTACTTTTAGTTTGCTTTTGCTTTAATGATTAATTCACTATTATCACTCTCATATGCTCCTTCTGTACATTTCACACCCTCTTCACACTTGTTAAATTGACACTCAATAGCAATTTTATCCTTATCAAATTTCTATCTTTGTGCCGTTGAGTACCACGTAATTTATAACTGTCAAAGCCACTTCTGAGTAATTATATCAATTATGTCAACCCCTATTACTCAATAATAGACCACTATATATTTTTGTAAGTATAAATACGACTGTACAGCCTCTGAAGATGATTTCGTCGATAAAGAAAATTTTCTTCGCTGAATTTGTCTTTTATTTTTCTTCATATTCTTCTTTTTGTCGTCATTATTTTATAAATTATTGAATATTTAATAACCCCTAACAATGAACTCATCTTGAATTCTGTAGTTCCTATCAACTCTCCTATACTTCAAAAATTATATTTCTTGTCGACTAACAGTCTGTTGATAACTTCTCCTAGTGTCAAGTATTTTAAACTAATAAGATTTATTATCTGAGCTGTATGTCACAGCCTTGTCTAATAAATTGTTCTTCATATTCGAATGCATTTCACGAGCTCTATCGAAAACATATCTTCAGGTAGCATTAGAATTATCCCCTACTATTCGTTAAATCTCGCATTTTGCCTATTATTCTCTATTGTTCCCCCTTAGTTTTTTCCCGGGCTACTGAAGAAAGACTATAACATATTACGCAGGATGTTAAAGGTTGTCAGCAGGGTAAGCAATGTGCCACTTAACCAGCTTGTTAATATTCTGGTTGACAGGCACATGGACTCATGTGAAAAATGGGCCAAATCCATTTTATCTAACTCACACCACCCTCTTCATTCACATCTCTCCCCTTGTATCTCATCAGGCAAAACCAGAAGCCTGTATAGAAAACTATATGCTTGCACCAGCAAGTACAAAAAATCAACCATACCCTACTTAGCTCGTGTTCTGTGCGATAAAGAAAGCATTAGGCGTGACATCTATAATTCATTAAATAGTCAGTAGAGCAACTGGACCTCGTCTTTCCAACTCATATCATTTATAGGTACAACATTTTCTTTCTTTCTTTTCCTATTCTCTCTCTCTCTTTTTTTTCCGTGATGTGCTGCTTTGTTTCTTTCTCTCGCTTACGCCAGTAAATATGACTGCTCCTACTTTTCTAACACCTTCAAACACTGTTTCAGCTTTACCTTTGCTACCGACATGCCAATGTGTTGTCGTCATAGTGAACTGAGATTTCCTTAATCTATGTAGAATTCTATTTATTGATAATGTACTAACTGGATGCAGTACTGTAGTAAAAATGCTGAGAATTCCATTCTGTATGACAAGTACTGTTTTGGAATAAAGCAAATTATTATTATTATTAAACAATTCAGATTACCCTTAATGTTGTTTCTCTTGCTAATTTTCAATTTCAACGAATTGATTTATATTCCTCTGTCATGTATAAGTCAAAGATATGCTACTGTTAAGTACCAAAGTCCCTATCGAAATCGAATACTGTTGAAAGAGAATCACTGTTATAATTAGACTATCGAATTATCTAAGTGACTTAGAAGTTTCATTCATATAAATTAATAACTTCATGTATATCTATATATACGATTATCTACAAATCTAATCACCATACTATTCTGTATTAGGTTTCCCTTTCGACCGCCTTCTGTCAGTATTGTACATTTCTGAGAATCTAATGTTCAGTATAAATTATTCACTACCTCCCCCTCCCCTCCCACGAAAAAAAGATTCAAAAACTATATCTAACAGTAATAGTAACTTTTGGAGAATTTACTGAATGAATAATAAACTAAACCAAATACTACTTGGCCAGCTGTTATCAGTAGTACTACTACAACTTCATACAACAGCATTTCTCTCTTATCTTTTTAATATGTTTATGATACGCGCTAAAAGTAGAATTAGAAATCTTTATTTATCAAAGGTTATATTTTAAGTTATTAAACAAAATATATCATTAATTAGTGGTGTTCCTTTGACATTGATCATATGCCTCTTCTTTGTCCTCTTCGTCTCCATCATGTTAATGACTATGGTGACCATGTTCATGACCATGATCCTTATGGTCGTGATGATCGTGTTCACCATGATCATGTTTATCCTTTTCGTAACTGTACTTATCATATTTTTCGTAGTCCTTGCTGTCACTGTATTTATCATACTTGTCAGAATCGTAATCATACTTTTCATAGCCTTTTTTATAATCATATTTATCATATTTCTTGGCGTTGTCATATTTGTCATAATCTTTGTCGTAACTCTTTGAGTAGTCATATTTGTCGTATTTCTTGGCGTAGTCGTATTTGTCGTAATCTTTTTCGTATTTCTTGGCGTAGTCGTATTTATCGTAATCTTTTTCGTATTTCTTGGCGTAGTCGTATTTGTCGTAATCTTTTTCGTATTTCTTGGCGTAGTCGTATTTATCGTAATCTTTTTCGTATTTCTTGGTGTAGTCATATTTGTCGTAATCTTTTTCGTATTTCTTGGCGTAGTCGTATTTATCGTAATCTTTTTCGTATTTCTTGGTGTAGTCGTATTTGTCGTAATCTTTGTCGTAACCCTTTGAGTAGTCATATTTGTCGTATTTCTTGGTGTAGTCATATTTGTCGTAATCTTTGTCGTAACCCTTTGAGTAGTCATATTTGTCGTATTTCTTGGTGTAGTCATATTTGTCGTAATCTTTGTCGTAACCCTTTGAGTAGTCATATTTGTCGTATTTCTTGGTGTAGTCATATTTGTCGTAATCTTTGTCGTATTTCTTGGTGTAGTCATATTTGTCGTAATCTTTGTCGTATTTCTTGGTGTAGTCATATTTGTCGTAATCTTTTTCATAACTCTTTGAGTAGTCATATTTGTCGTAGCTCTTCGAGTAGTCGTACTTATCATAATCCTTGTCATAACCCTTGGAGTAGTCATATTTGTCGTATTTCTTGGTGTAGTCATATTTGTCGTAATCTTTGTCGTAACTCTTTGAGTAGTCATATTTGTCGTAGCTATTCGAGTAGTCGTATTTGTCATATTTCTTGGTGTAGTCGTACTTGTTGTAATCCTTTTCATATCCTTTCGAGTAGTCATACTTGTCGTAATACTTATCATAACTCTTTGTATAGTAGTCATAAGTATCATATTTCTTAGTATAGTCATATTTATTGTAATCTTTTTCATATTCTTTCGAGTAATCATATTTGTCATAATTCTTAGTATAACCGTACTTGCTGTAGTCTTTTTCATAATCCTTTGAGTAGTCATACGTGTCATATTTCTTGGTGTAATAATACTGATTGTAATCTTTATCGTAGCTCTTCGACGTGTCATACTTGTCATAGTTGTCACTACTGTAGGTATATTTATTGTAAATCTTCCCAGTGCTATATTTATCATAATATTTACCATATCCATACTGGCTATAGTCATTGTAGGCGTAATCTTTCGAAGTACTGTAGGTATCATATTTGTTGTAATCTTTGTAATTGTATTTATTATATGTTTTGCTTGGATAATTGTTATAATATGTAGTAGTATAAACAGATTTATCATTGCTTGTAGTGTAATACTTATCGTATGCCTTGCTGTAATCATTACCATTATAACTGTTACCATAGATATCTACAGCAGTTGAATAATATTTCATTCCACCATGAGGAGTATAGCTGCCTCCATTTCCATTCACATAACCACCACCAGTGTAACCACTATAACCGCTGTATCCACCATACGAACTACTGAATACACTTTGAAGAAAACATAAAAATATGAGATTGAATAATTTTCGCATGTTGGTTTTTATCCTGTACAGCGAATATATATATATTGTGTCTTCCAACTAATCTGCTCAACTGTATGTACTCATGATCAACTGCTTAGATACACGGAGTATTTATACACAATTAAATTCACAAAGTACATCAGTCTAATTCATTAATAGAATTCTGCGTAATATTTTATTATTTAGCAAAGTTCATCTAAGTTGAAAAGCAAAATAATAATATTTAATAAAAAGTGCATAAAAGTTCTTTAAAATCATTTTATTACGAAATAACTTAATTCTTTTCTAACTAAGAAACATACAGCATAATACAGTTCATGAATTATTGACAGATACACTTACCCCAGACTTACTGTGTCATTCTTGAATCAGTGATATAGATTGCCTATTCAAAGCTTATGTGATGATTTCGAGCTGAAAGCTCTTGACTCATTCATCTAATGTCATACTCATAGATCTTGCAGCTGTAACTTCACACATAATCAGCATATATACCACTGTAGATCGGTTTCACATCTGATCTGAAGATTTTAATTCGATAATGCGTTGTCATTGACTTTATCGATGAGTCGGTAGCATAGCGGTTAGGACACTCACCGACCATGCACATGGTCCGGGATTTGATCCTCGGCCACCGACGCATTCCTTTACCTCGCTAAGCCAGAAATAATGCTGGTGAAGAGGAAAGGTTGGGCATGAGGCAAGAAACCCCATCCTGTAAAATAAACACTGCTACAGAAACTTCAAGCTGGCTCTAGCTTGAAGCCCTATGTTCCACTGGGGAACGTGAAGGAAAAACAATTGACTTTATCAAATACTAGTAACCTCAGCGTACTGATTTATAAAAGAGTTCATATATTCTATGACCATATAATAATAATCACTTTATTCCAAACAATAATAAATACTATACAAAATGGAATTTTCAGCGTTTTTAGACATATGGCAACAATTTAGCTCCTTTTATAAATATGCACATATATAAAATTTAAAATATTAATAACAATATTAATAATGAAACCATTATAAACAGAATGTTGGTGGAGACATAATGAAATATAAGTAGATATTATCATAGATAATACATGTAATAATAACAATAATCTTTGCTCATACTTTGCAGTTCAGATTACTGATTTAAAAAGTTTATAAGTTCTTTTCTGACATCTGACTCTCTCTTCACACAAAACCACCCATGCTAAATATGGTGGTGTGGTAGTGTGGTGACAGCTGTCTACTAGCCAAATTGGTAGACAGTAATTTACGTCAATATTTACGTTCCCAAGATTTGTCGTGAGAAACAACCAATCGGAAGACTGTGTTTGTTTGTTTACATATCCATAGTAATGTACATGAAAACATATATAAATATGCGTTGATTTCCTTAATAAATGATCTGTTGCCTGACTCTTGTCTTCTGTCGTTACAGTAGAATTTTAATATTTATTAGCTGTAGGGGCGTAAATTCTTCTGGTTTTACCCTCGAAGAGGTACACGGGGAAAGATGAGAATAAAGAGGATGTTCAGTATTAGACAAGATAACTTTAGCTAAATACGTTTGCGAGAATTGAAGTGCCTATTGACAATGATGTCAGTTAGCTGAGTCAAAGGCACACCAGTAACCCTACTTACAGTCTTCAGTGTTCCATGTAATATGACAAAGTCTTTTTTGAGAAGCCCAGGGAAGAATAAGGGCGAACAATGGAGGAGAATGGGCAAAATACATGAGTGAATAAATTGAAAGAAAAGAGGTTGAGTTATGCCAACAGTAGGAAGTCTCAACTTTGATATGGAATAAGTCAAACGAAACATTTTCTCGGAAATCAAGGGGATGTGTGACGACCAACAGAGATTCGAAAAGAGACTGATACTGAGATGAGAGATATTCGATTAACTCCCTATCACAGTGCCGTCAGTATTACAGGAATCATGCAACTGAGTCAGTCCATGCAAGTCTTGTTCACATCTGAAACTAAAATCAACAATATGATATTTAGATAGATTTAAGATCATTTAAGTGAGACCACTTTTTAACTTCGGACAAGAATTTATTCATATAAGAACAATCCAAAGTAGAAACTATTGGGACAGAAATGGTAAGATATACACTGCACACAAAAGAATTGTAATATTCAGAATCAAGGGGTTCCTAACACGAATGGGATTTTAGCTGACTAGTTACCACCATTGATTCAATATTGATACGATATGTGATACTTGCAGATAGTTCTGATCAATTACTGAGAATCTACTGTCTATATTTTTTTTCCTTCACGTTCCCCAGTGGAACATAGGGCTTCAAGCTAGTGGCTTGAAGTTCCTGTAGCAGTGTTTATTTTACAGGATGGGGTTGCTAGCCTCATGCCCAACCTTTCCTCTTCACCAGCATCATTTCTGACTTAGCGAGGTAAAGGAATGCGTCGGTGGCCGGGGATCGAGCCCCGGACCATGTGCATAGTCGACGAGCGTCCTAACCGCTATGCCACCGACTCACTAACATGAGCACCCATATGCCAGAACTCACGGTCCCGCGAAATTCCGCACCCTGGACTCCAAGTAGCTAGATTACAGGCGTACGCCACCACGCCCAGCCACTGTCCATATTAACGTAATATAAACTAGCTGCTACAATACACATTAGATCAATAAAGATGGTGGAATTAAAAAACGATTCCAACAGTTGGGAAGTATTTAATTGGTGGATGGTGACTAGCAGTGGAATCAAGGACAACACTCATTTCATACTATTTAGGACTCGTCATCTGGATGTGCACGCATCCCCCAGTGAGTGATGATGTTCCCTCCGAGGCTCGAACCCAGTGCCCTTAGTTTCAAACGCCAAAGCGCTATCCACTAGACCACTTGGGCCACGAGAGCCACTGTCTCTTGTGCAACGGGTCATATTAATTATTCAGTTGAATTGGGGAATGCAGGTACATCCACTAGCTAACGAGTCCCAAATAGGACGAAATGCGCATCCTGGATTCCACTGCTAGTCACCAATCAACAATTAAATTCTAATTACATACCCAGACATCGTCGAAGCATCTGCACAAGAAGCCGACATATCAACCTGAGACCGACCACTTCGGTCCTATCAATCGACGGGAAAATCTAAAATTTATTTGAATAGTTGGGAAGTAATTTTGCTCGAAATATTACCAAAAACAAAAATTTATCATTCTTTGTAAACTGCTGAAATATAATTATAATTTATTTGATGATGTAGAGTGAAATGATAACAGACAGATAGGCAAAAATTTAATGAACTCGAAATGATACAAATGCATACTTAAAAATGACTTATCAGACCATGTTACAGTCTTGTAATAGTCTATCTAGTTACAGACTCCTGGTAGCATGTCTCAAAACTGATCACAACAGCGTATATATGTATAGTGAAAACCTCTGGTTTCTTTTTAATTATTGTCTTTCCTGTGAGACTCTAGTTTGTCTACTCTAGAATCACTAGGACATACTTTACCCTCTTTAATTCGTGCCAATTCAAAGTGTAGAGACCCGAAGAAGTGTTCTATATTGACTCGTCTCTGTCTAGTTAATTATTCACGATGACGCGTATCACTTGTTCCTACTACTTGTACTACTAAAGGTTAGTAGTATATGTAGTGCCGTTTTAAATTCCCAACTCATATACCATTTGTGGGATTTCGTTGTGCTGATAGTCATCAAATAACTTCTGGAAAATGATGAGTAGTGTACATTTTTCTTATAATCAGTGTAGTCTGACACCACAGCATTATCCACTAGACCATTTCGGCCACGAGAGTGGCCACATCTTGTGCAACAGGTGGCAGTTATAATTTGACTTTTTGGGTTGACTGATTATTATTTTGAATCAAAACGCTCAATAACTGTCGGCTTGTAGTACAGACGCTTCAAATATGTCTGACGATTAACATGATGTGCTGCATAATCCCCGGGAAATGTGATTTAACCTGAAACATCTTGCATTTCATTACTGGTCACCATTAAACAAAATGACGTCACGTTAATCCTCAGACATAGTCGAAGCATCTCTTCTAGTAGTCGACATGTCAACCGGGACCGACTATTTCGGTCCGATATAATCTCAGTCAACGGCGAAATGCGAATCAAACCAAAAGGACAACTATCCACAAATGCCTAAAACAGGTGTGTCATAGTACTTTTCAATTTTTGGTGTTATTTATTTAACAAAGATACAGTAGAAAAGAGTATATCCAACCTTTTAAAAAGCTCTGAAACTGCTATACAATTGCGAACAAATAACACTAATAAAAAATCGCTTATGATACTTCCCAGGCTAATGGTATAAGACATGCTGTTAAGTCAGATATATCCAAATTCTAGTTCACCAACAACAATAGGTATATGGATAACTTAGTGACATGCTTCATACCAACAGCTAATATTCTCTTAAGTCAACTGGAAATGAAGTTGGTTTTCGTGGTTCAGTCTGTATAGTCCAAGCTTGTGAATCTGAACATCCCTTCTTGGAATACAATAACTAGTACTGTTCTTCTGCCAACATTGGTTATCATACCTAAGTGTGGAAATCAACTCCCTCCCCCCAGTCATTTTTATCTTAGATACCTCAGCTAAAAGTAAAACCGTACTCAGATGCTTGAGGATATTAATAGCTCAGCAGCACAGTTCTTAGTGATGTGTCGTCCTCTAAGATACCTAGTTTAATCGTGATGGTAGTGTTTTCATCACTGTTTAAAGCTGTTTTGATTTCTCTGAAAGCCCCTGGATTCTTGATGCATCACTCACTCATCTAGAAATCATTAGTCACATCTATATTCTCAACTTGACTTATACTGTAACGACAGAAGACAAGGGCCAGGTTACAGATCGTTTATCGAGAAAATCAGGAAATATTTATAGATTTTTATGTACATTATTGTTAGCAGAGAAGCAACGTCTTCTAATTGGTCGTTTTCTTGCTGAAGGTTATTCTATCATCTCTTTGTGACCGTTTCTTAGAAAGTTAAGCCATATATCTGCGA